ACTCACAGAGATCCGCCTGGCTCTGCCTCCCGAGTGCTGGGATTAAAGGCGTGCGCCACCACCGCCCGGCGTTTAGCAGAATCTTACTAGTAGGTTTTGCCTCAGGGGCCATAACCTATCTAGTTTCAGGCTCTTAGCCTCATTGACAGTGCCAGGTATGGCTTCTATCTCATGGAGGGAGCCTGTCTACCACTTTTTTTTTTTTTTTCAAGACAGGGTTTAATTTTGGAGCCTGTCCTGGAACTTGCTCTGTAGCCCAGGCTGGCCTTGAACTGCCTGCAGAGAGCTGCCTGCCTCTGCCTCCTGAGTGCAGGGATTAAAGGTGTGCACCACCACTGCCCAGCCCTGCCTACCACTTTTTATCAAAAGGACACTTAGCATTACAGATATCTGATGAAAAGTATCCAACCTGAGTGAGTTCAATTAAAACTGTCTCTTAATTCATGTTTTCTGTATTAATGAACTTATCACACTTGGTATATTGTTTAGTAAGAGGCCTCATTTATTTGCTTGTTTTCAGGGGTGGCGACGGAACCCATGGCTTCTCTGATGCAAGTGCTCCATCCTGGGGCCACATCCCCAGCCCAAGGTGTCATTCTTTGAGTGCCAGAGAATCCATTTGGCAGCTCAGGTTGGTGGCACACTGTATCTGAGGCCTAGGCAGAAGGAGTCCAAGTTCTAGGCCAGCCTGGACAGTTTAGCCAGACTGTATCTCAAAATTGAAAAGAAGAAGGCTGAGGCTACAGGCCAATAGTCGTGGGTACAGGGTTCAGTCATCTGACTTCAAACCAACCATGTAATGAAGTATATGATATTTTTGTTAGTTTACAGTATGGTGTATTCTCCTTTTTTTTTTTTTTAGATTTTAAAATTATTTATTTGTGTGTGTGTGTGTGTGTGTGTGTGTGTGTGTGTGTGTGTGTGTGTGTTGAGGTCAGAGGACAACTTTCCAAAGTCGATTCCCTCTTTCTGCTATGTGGGTTTCGGAAATTGAACTCAAGTCATAGAGTTTGGTGGTGGCACCTGGATCCTGCTAAGCCTACTTCATTGGCCACCCCATCCCCCTTCTTTTACAATTGGTCTTATTATAAACCCAGGTTGGTCTGGAGTTGGTGACTGGTCCTTTGGTCTCCCCTTCCAGAATACTGGGCTTACCATTTCGTACACCACACCTGGTGTATCTTTTTCATGATGATGGAGTCTTGACCAAGTACCAGATCAGTCGGCCAGCTTTAGAATCCCTATTAGCTGGGATTATGAACCTACAACGTGGCATCCACCAGACAAGCAGAAACTGGGAACTGGGAGTAAGCCCGGAGTTTCATAAGAGCTGCCTTCAAGATTTCAGCTGAGGGTGATGCAACTCCAGGAGAGCGACGATGACGTAAGAGGAAAGTAGTCCAGCCCCATAATGAATTGAGAACATCCAAAGACATTTGAAAGTGATAACATTTCAAGACCTGAAGATTTCGGGACTTGGTCTCCAGGCATTATGATTTGTTATGCTAGCTAGATGTGTTTGGTCTAATTTTTTTTAAAACACCAGAGGAAAACGAGTCTGTCTTTCCTATGTTTGATATCACACTTAACAGTTTCTATAGTCAGACATCTCTTCTTTGTAGTTTTAAATTAATTTTAAATCCAATTACAAAATATGCATCGAAGTAACTAATAACTGTAATAAACACTGCTTTCCCTTACGTTTTTTGCTTACGTTCCAGCAGGAAAAATATTCTTCAGTTCATATCTGTTAATTCACTCAGTGGCAGTGCTACAGACAATGCCTTATGATGATGGCCAGGCCCAACCCAGGCCAGATTCTTACCAGGTAAATGGAAACCTAAACTCAGCATTCCTCAGAAATCCCTGTGAGGTGGCCTTCTGCTTGCCAGAAAAGCTGCTGCTTCTCTTCTCTGCCCACAGTGGTCAACTATCTTGGGCAAAGTGCATCTAGTTCCCTATTAACCCAAACAGCCTGCTCAGAAACCCCCACATGCTGATGATCATAAAAATCTGCTTGTTTTCCCAGCAAGCTTCCGCTCTCTACTCCCTGAGGCCCCCAGCAGTGTGTCCCCTAATAAACTGTTTTTCTACACAAGGAGTGGTCTAGATTGGTGGTTTCACTGGACCTGGCTTACAATATCTCGGTGGGGGCAAGTCCTCTAGCTTTTACTGTTCTCTCAAGAATATATAAATAGTATCTAATTTTCATTAAAAAAAAAAAAAGTCCCTCGGCCAGGCGGTGGTGGTGCATTCCTTTAATCCCAGCACTCGGGAGGCAGAGGGAGGCGGATCTCTGTGAGTTCCAGGCCAACCTGGGCTA